CTGGGCCCTTTGATACGGGCTGTTAGGTCCCTGTATGACCGGTGTCAGAGCCTGGTCCGCATCGCCGGCAGTAAGTCGGGCTTGTTCCCGGTGAGAGTTGGACTCCGCCAAGGTTGCCCTTTGTCACCGATTCTGTTCATAACTTTTATGGACAGAATTTCTAGGCGCAGCCAAGGTGTTGAGGGGATCCGTTTTGGTGGCCTTAGGATTGCATCTCTGCTTTTTGCAGATGATGTGGTCTTATTGGCTTCATCAGATCGTGATCTACAGCTTTCGCTGGAGCGGTTCGCAGCCGAATGCGATGCGGCCGGGAAGAAGATCAGTTCCTCCAAATCCGAGGCCATGGTCTTGAGCCGGAAAAGGGTAGAGTGCCCTCTCCGGGTCAAGAAGGAGGTCCTACCCCAAGTGGAGGAGTTCAAGTATCTTGGGGTCTTGTTCACGAATGAGGGAAAAATGGAGCGTGAGATCGATAGGCGGATAGGTGCAACGTCTGCAGTGAAGCGGGCGCTGTACAGGTCTGTCGTGGTGAAGAGAGAGCTGAGTCAAAAGGCGAAGCTCTCAATTTACCGATCGATCTACGTTCCCACCCTCATCTATGGTCACGAGCTTTGGGTTGTGACCGAAAGAATGAGATCTCGGATACAAGCGGCCGAAATGAGTTTTCTCCGCAGGGTGTCTGGGCTCTCCCTTAGAGACAGGGTGAGAAGCTCGATCATCCGGGAGGGACTCGGAGTAGAGCCGCTGCTTCTCCACGTCGAGAGGAGCCAGTTGAGGTGGCTTGGGCATCTGTTTAGGATGCCTTCTGGACGCCTCCCTGGCGAGGTGTTCCGGACACGTCCCACCAGAAGGAGGCCCAGAGGAAGACCCAGGACACGCTGGAGGGACTATGTTTCTCGGCTGGCCTGGGAACGCCTCGGGATTCCCCCCGGAAGAGCTGGCCCAAGTGGCTGGGGAGAGGGAAGTCTGGGCCTCCCTACTTAGGCTGCTACCCCCGCGACCCGACCCCGGATAAGCGGAAGAAAATGGATGGATGGATGGATGGAAGTTGGTCCCAGCAGTTCTTCCTCCGATTGTATCCTCAAATGGTGTCCCCATTGAGCTTGTTGATTCATATAAATATTTGGGTATCTTGGTTGACTCTTTTAAGCTTCATGTGGAAATCTTGGTAAAGAAACTGAAAGTTAAACTGGGGTTCTTTTTCAGAAACAGATCCTGTCTAACTCTGAATGCTAGGAAACGCCTTGTATCTGTGACTTTCCTTGCCTCCATTGATAAAGGTGACATTATTTACATGAATGCTCCTACAAGAACCCTGCAGATGTTGGATGCTGCAGATGTGGGATGCTGTCTATCATGGTGCACTAAGATTCATAACTGGCTGTGATTATCGTACCCACCACTGCACCCTGTATTCACTGGTTAACTGGACATCATTAACTTCACGCAGACTCTCCCACTAGTACATTTCCATCTTTAAATCACTTCTTGGTGTGCTGCCTTCATACATCTCCTCCTACATGTCTCTGTGTGAGTGCAGCTACAGTGTGCGCTCTCAGGACATTATTACCTGCAGTGTTCCCTCAGTGAGGACTAAACTAGCCAAGAGAGCCTTCTCCTACTCCGCTCCTGTTTCCCGGAATACCTTACAAAAACATTTGAAGCTCTCGACCTTGACCTCTCTAAGTGACTTTAGGAATCTGTTGGACTCCTGGCAGGGACCAATGCAGACATGTTCCTGTTTTTAGTTTTCTACATTCGCCTTAGAATCTAGCTGTTTTGTTACCATTTTTAAGCCATCCTATTTGTTTAAAAAAAAAAAAACTGGAGTATGACTTTTTATAACTGTTTATTGTTGTCACGGTTGTCCATTGTTGTCATCATTCTTTGTTGAAATCAGGTCTCTCTTGTAAATGAGTCCTCGAGGCTCAATGGGATTTACCTGTCTAAATAAAGGTTGAATGAAAAAAAAAGTATATTCAGAAAAGACAAGTCAGAAGACGTTGGCTACAGGACAAAAGACGAGACATGAAAACACTCCTTCAACAAAGACATTTAATGAAAATAGTCCAGATCTAAACCCAGCTGAAAGTCTCTAGTGGAAACTGGAAAAAAAAAAGATCAAAGATAAGGCTCCAACCTGCAAAGCTGATCTGAGAACAGGAAATCTTACCTCTCTTTGAGAGTGTTTAGTCTTGCTGATCTTGGTCAGTGAGCCTTTAGGGTCTTTAGAACGAAAGATTGTGTTCCGATGAGGCAGGTGTTTTATGAAGTCTCTGATCCCAGCACTATTCTTATCTTCATCTTCAGTCTGATAGTTATGTCCATCGTTTAACTTAGACTTGGACTGGGGCTTGAAGCTGGAACAACAGGAAGGACCAAAGTTTAATTCAGAATCAGACCCAAGTTTGAACAGATTTGAACTATATGAAACTAAAATCAATGTTCTCGTGTGCCTCAGTCGTCTGATGAACAGAGTGCTGACATCAAAAAGGACTTGTTAGCTACAATACATAAAATAGCTCTACAATATCTTGGGGGCCAAGACAGCACATGGGCCTTTTCCACAGCTCCTCTTAAGCCTGGTTTGGCTCGGTTCTGTACGGTTTTGTGCCTTTTTTCACAGTTTTTTTTTTTTTGTGGAACCGGCACCTTTTTTGGTCTTTTCTTCTCAAGGGGGCCAAGCGAGTCGAGACGGCACCAAAACGTGATGTCAGAACACTGTTGGTCATTGGTTGGACAGGGGGAGGAGTCATTGGATCTTTCAGAAACTTTTCAAAACATTAATTCTCCATTTGCAATTACTTGGAACTCAGAGAAGCGGCTGAATCTATTTTTAAGATTTTAAAAACAATGAAAGCTGCAAGCAGCATTGGAGGCCATCGCAGCAAAGCACTGCTCCGGCCTTACGGCAACTGCGTGAGCTCCAGCTAGTCCACCCAGTCGCCATTGCGAACGCTGTCATGCCAATCCTGTATACGCTCACCACGGGGCGCATTTCCCGAATCTTTGACATGGCCTTCCGTCCATCTTGTTACTCGTCCAGTTGCAGGTCTTACAAGTATAGGCGAAATCTGACCTTCCAGACACGAGTTATGGTGACTTCCTGTTTTGTGGCTAATGTTTGACAAACACTTCCTTTATGCTTTTCTACATGTCATATGCTTTTCTACATGTCATATGTGGTAATCAACAGTTAGCGAACTAAGTTTCAGTCTAATATCTTACACAGTGTGAAGCTGGAAGTGTCATCCAATAATCAACCGTTTTTTTCTCTGAGTAGGTGGGGCTTAATTTATGTCATGAATCCACAATACCAATGTGTGTACAAGTGCTCCCTGATCAAGCACAAAAGCTCAGGTTCAGATTGGATAATGTATCACTGAGATATAACTGTTGGAATAATGTAGGGGCACACTTGAGTCCAATGTTAAAGAACTTTATCAATGTGTCTATAAGTGCTCACTGATCATGCACATAAAATCTGGTACATATTGGATGATATTTCATTGAGATATAACTGTTGGAATAATCTAGGGGGCACACTGGAGTCAAAAGTTAACCAACAATACCAGTGTGTGTAGAAGTGCTCACTAATGATGTACCCCAAATCTGGCTTAGATCAGATGATATATCACTGAGATCTAACTGATTAAATAATCTAGGGGGTACACTTGATTCATATGTTAAACCACAATATCAATGTGCTTAGATGTGCTCACTGATTATGCATCAAAAATCTGATTCCAATCGGATGATGTATCACTGAGATATAACTGTTGGAATAATGTAGTGGGCGCACTTTAGTCAAATGTTAAAGAACAATACCAATGTGTCTAGAAATGCTCACAGATGACACACCAAAAATCTGGTGCAGATAGGATGATGCATCATTGAGATATAACTGTTGGCATAATGTAGGGGGTGCACTAGAGTCGTATGTTAAACCACAATATCAATGTGTGTAAAAGTCCTCACTGATGACGCACAATAAATCTGGTACGGATCAGATCTTGTATCACTGAACTATAACTGTAGGAATAATGTAGGTGGCACTGTGGAGGCTATTGGCCACTTATCATGGAAACGTGTTCAAGGGGCGGATAATAGTAGATCATAGTGATTTTGGTGCGCATCGGCTGAAATCTGTGCAATTTAGAGCCAAACGTATTGCAACGGTGTCAATTCTGAATTCGCCACGCCGCCAAGCCCACATCCTCAAGCCAAAACGGTTTGCGCTTTAAATCAAGTCAGACCATATTATCTATCTTCTAACACAGGATCATCCTGATTAGGTCAATGGTGTCAAAGACGGAGCATTCCAAGTTAAAAAAGAGATTTCCTGTTCCAAGGGGGCCGGGCTTTGATCACATCAAAATATGACCACAGTGGATCTTCGGGAATCCAACAGGGATGAATCATGCCAACTTTCGTGCATTTCGGTCTTTCAATGTGAAAGTTCTAGTGTTAGGAAATTGATGGGCGTGAAGTGAAACTTTGAGGCCTGGCCATGCCCCTTTAACATAGACGAAAACGCAAGCTTTAGATAACTTTTACTCTTCAATGTCTTAAGGGCATATTAACCAAGTTTGAAGGCAATCCTTCAAAATTCCTAGGAGGAGTTTGTTAAAATTCTCAATTAGAAACGGCCAAAAATGACTCTAACCCAAAATGACCGACTTCCTGTTGGTTTTGGACCAGGGCTTCAAGAGACTTTTTCATAGTTCCTGAGAAGATACAGATGTTCACTGAGTTTCAGAATTATCGGTCCAAAAATGGCTTGGGGCTTAGGTTTTAAAATATTCTAGGGGGCGTTGTGGAGGCTATTGGCCACTTATTGTGGCTTCCTGTTCAAGGGGTGGATAATGATGGATCATACTGATTTTGGTGCACCTTGGTTCAAATCTGTGGAATTTAGAGGCAAACGTATGGCGACGGCGTTACGTCTTACTTTGCCACGCCGCCCACATGCTCCACCCAAAACTGTCAGTGTTGGAAAGCAAGTTACACCAACATGTCTTCGATCACTGGACACACTATCATGCTGATCAGGTGACAGGGGTCAGATAGGGATGGTTCAACAAAAAACTTTACTTCCTGTTGTCAGGGGCATGGCTTAAGTGATGTCATGATTTGATAATTCAGTCTTGCAGGGGACTGGATGTGGATCAATCACTGAAGGTTTTATTTCTCAGACAGTTTTCGTGTAGGAGTTATTAGCATTTCGTTTTTCATGGCGAGATGTCAAACTTTGAGGTCTGGCTCCGCCCCTTCAGCACGCTCTGAAACAAACTGTTTAGATAACTTTGCGTCTCCCATGCCTTTTGATAAAATGGCCAAGTTTGAAACCGATTGAGCAAAATCCCTAGGAGGAGTTCATTCAAATGCGGAGTCTGAAAACCGCCAAAAAGGTGTGAAAATTGGGCAGGCATTCCAAAATGGCCGCCTTCCTGTTTATTGTACAATGTTGGTGCCAGAGTGTTTTCTGTGCATCTTGGGGAATTGGACAAGCGTACCAAATTTCATTCTTCTACGACAAACTAAGATTAATGCGGAGGGTATTTTGAAAATTTGTAGGTGGCGCTCTTGAGCCGTTTGTTGCGATTTTTGCCACGCCCTTAAAATACGTAATTTTTTACCAGTCCTGATGCGTCCGCCAAATTTGATGACTTTTGGGATATGTTAAGGCTTCCAAAACGCCAATTCATTTGGCTGAAAAAATTGCAGCTCTGACCTGAACAGAGCGATTACAATAGGCCTTAGCAGCGCTTCGCTGCTCGGGCCTAATGACAACACCGTGGTCTAATGCTGAAGTGCAGGCATTTTTGTGCTTGGTGGTGGCCGACGACAAAATTCAAAGCGAGCTAGATGGAGCTCCGCCGATCTCCCCGGTCCTCTATCGAAGCTTTGGAGCCCGCTCTGGCCGTGCAGGGCATCATCTCCCTGTCTCCGAGATCCGCTGGTCACCGCAGAAGATCGTCCGTGCTGCCGGTTCAGGCTCCGGATCCCAGCCTTGTGTGTTCTGCAGGCTCCGAGCTCTGCTGGTCACCACTGAGAATCATACGAGCTGCTGACTCGCAGAAGGCCTTTGCACAGACCCCGGCTCGCCTGCTCATGAAGGACGATCCCAACAGATGGGCGGACCGGGACAGGTCTGGGACGGAGGATAGAAAGGATTTTTAAAAACATTTTATGTGAAGATTAAAACAATAAATAAATGGTGCCAGATTTATCATGAAATCCTGTTTCACTTTAGTGACCATTACATAATCTGTTAAAGTTAACTCATCTGAAAAATCATAAAAAGATGCAAAATTTTTGGATCGCTCAGGAATATTTCCCTCAAATATGTTTAAAGAAGAGCTCCGGTCTTTAGTTCAACTGTGTAACCCACAGATGTACAAATCCCAAAACAAGAATTAAACTTTAAAGCACAGCTAATAATAAGAAATATCTGTTAACAAGAAACAAAACCACACATCTAAATTGAACAATAAAAGTTGACACAAGTGCAAATACATCAAATGATGAAGAAAAGATATAAAACTTTAAATATAGATGATTTTGTAGAATCTGCTTCATCAGAGATTTAATAGTGAACTAAAGTTCATTAAAAGTTTATTAGCAGGATATATATAGTTTAATTTGATAATTTTTATAATCTGTCTTCTTTTTAATTTACCAGAAACATCAAATAAATTCTCACCCTGAACTGAAACCTGTTTACAAGGTATTACCGCCATCAGCTGGTGAGGCATGTGACCTCAATTTGAACCCGCCCACTGAAGGACCTTCTCCTCCTCACAATGTCAAACTTATAAAAGGGTAAAAAGCATCAAAAGGAGATGATTGCTCACGGTTATTGCACAAGATTGACATTAAGGTGATGGATGGTGTTTAACGTCTTATTGGTTTAAATAAAAAAGCTGTTTTTCAGTCTATTTTTTCTTATTTTAATGCTGCTGGACCTCCTGTCTGATAGTAAATGAACTGTACTTATTAGAGCCTGACCGATATGAAGATTTTGGATATCGCTGATGTCGATATTGGGAGGGGGTGACCGCTGATAACCAATATAATGGCTGAAAAAATTTGAGCTTTGTCCACCCTCAAGAATCTCACTACACAACGAGTGGAGCGAGGCTTGTTTATTTAGCACAGCTGATAGAAACCATGAAGCTAAGCTAATCAGATCCACCTTTAATTAGTCTCAATAGCTACACTACATTGCCAAAAGTATTTGCTCACCCATCCAAATTATCAGAATCAAGTGTTCCAATCACTTCCATGGCCACAGGTGTATAAAATGAAGCACCTAGACATGTAGACTGGTTTTACAAATAGGGATGGGGTCAATCCG